GGTTAAAAAATCCAGTCTGTAGCGGCTCTGTAGCCCAAATGATGCTAATAGAATTATAATAATCATTCTTCTTTTTTTTTGGAATACTTTATTTTGAAGTTTTCAATTTAGGACGAACAGTGCAACTTAGTCCCATTAAAATAAAAATAAAAACTATATAAAATATGGAAAATAACATTAACGGTAATCTAAAAGAGAGATTTTATTAAAAGAAAGAATTGACAACTTATCTAGAAAGGTGAAAAGTAAGAAAAACAAATGAATCAATAAAAATAAAAATAAACAAACTAGCCAAGAAATGATAATATAAATAAATCAGATTCACATGTGACACTTTTTCACATATATTTTCATTATTTCTCTAAATATTTGTATAAATTTATTTCAAAATAATCTGTTTTTGGTCGCTTCACTTTGTAATTTAATTAAAAAAGAAACTTACCTCCTCAGACACAGACTAAGATTCTTACTTAAAAGTAAAGCGCTTCTATTTAGACAGATTTATTTAGAAAAAAAAGGACTTTTTCCTGTTTTCCAACACATTTTTTAGGCTGAGTTAAGGGAAAAATGCCCTCCTCACGATTTTCTTTCTTCTGCTTTTTTCTTCCTTTTTTTTTCTTACCATTTCTCTTTCTGTCTAAATCATCTCTCTCCTTTTCATTGCTATTCTCTCTTCCCTCTGTCAGGTTTGGCATTATTGGACACATGTGAGTTTGGTAAAGAAATATAAATAAATAAAGCAGTATTGGGTAATAGAGGGGGGCTTCTCACTAGCAAAGCCTCCCTTGGCAAAGCCATTTTGTTCAGCATAGCACGGTATTTCAGTTCTGCTGTCATAATGCTGAATAGGACAAGGTAAAAAAATACATAAATACATTTTAAAAAGTTTGAAATGTGGCCTAAAGGCGGAGGACTCACCAGACAGATACTCGGATACCTCTCCGACAAAATGCACAGGATGCCGAAAAAGACGAACTAGCAAAAAAAAAAAAAGAAAGAGAGGGAAAACAAACTTTTAAAATTGTGAAGCAGGACAGCTCTGTTTCATTCATGTGGTGCATTCAAGTGCTGGCACAAACGTGGGACATCTGGGCTTTGATCCAGCCCTCACAGAGGGTCAGATCAGTCCGGTAACGATGTGTAAACACTCTATAAAATCCCACCATGCAACCTCAGTTATTAGCTACATTTAACAGTTTAGTTACATTTAGCTTTTTAGCTACAGTATATTTAAATTAGTAGCTACATTTAACAGTTTAGTTACATTTAGCTTATTAGCTACATTTAACAGTTTAGTTACATTTAGCTTTTTAGCTACATTTAATAGTTTAGCTACATT